TGTACTTATACTTTTTTCCTAGTTCAGATCATACATTATGGTTATGTCACATGTTAACATTAGGAAAACCTCAATAAAGGGCAAAAAGAAATCTCTAAACTGCTTTTTTAAATTTTTTAAATAAAAATTGTATGTTTAATGTGTAAATATGATGTTTTAATGTACATATACATTGTAAAGTGATTTCTACAGTCAAGATAATTAATATATTTATCACCTCATCATAGTTGCCTTGCTTTAGAGGTTATGTTTGTGGTGAAAATGCTGAAGATGTACTCTCTTAGCAAATTTCAAGTATGTAATACAGTATAATTAACCATAGTTGCCATGCTGGAAATTAGGTCTCCAAAACTTATTCATCATATAACTGAAACTTTGTACTCATTGACCAACATCTCCCCATTTCCCCTACTTCTAGTAACTACCATTCAACTCTGCTCCTTTAAATTCAATGTTTCTTAGATTCCACATATAAGTGAGATCATGCAGTATTTTTCTTGATGTGTCTTGCTCATTTTACTTAACATAATGTCCTCCAGGTTCATCTATGTTACTGCAAATCCCAGAATTTCCTTCTTTATTAAGACTTGATGGTATCTCACAAATTCATAGGCTTGCTTCACTCTTTTTCATCTTTTTTTTTTCTTTTTATCCTCTGTCTGGGAAATTTCAAATGATCTGTCCTCAAGTTTGCTTATTTTTTCTTCTGCTTGATCAAGGCCACTGTTGAAAGCTCTCTATGCTATTTTAATTTCTCAATGTATTCTTCAGCATTAGGATTTCTCTTTTAAAAGGCCAGTTACTGGTCCCGCGGGCCGCGCTGGGGTCCTGGCCTTCAAAGGAAGCGTCCCCGAGCGGCTCTGTGGGCTCCTGGGGAGTGAAGCGCCGACCTGGACTTATGGGGTGAGCTTCCCTCCTGCAGAGCCTTGTGAGGATTAACCACTTCCTTTTGTGTTGCAGTTACTTAAAATACCCCGTCGTAACCCACTATAAATCTTATTTTACAAGTTACGGAATTCAAGGCACAGAGGGCTACCACCCAGCGGGCTAGGCATAGACACCAAATGCGTTGGTTCCCACTCCTCTGCGTTAGACGTGTGCCGACATACTTAGGGGGTGACGTGATATAATATCTGGCATGTGCCTCAGAACAGGGGAATGGGAGGCGACAAGGAAGCAAGGCTGGCCGTGAGTGATGGCTGTTGGAGCCGCGTGGGTGACTACTGTTCGTATGAGAAGTGCTCCGCAATAAAACAACAGCAACAAAAGCCACTTCTTCCTTGATGTTTCTTTGGTCATCTCTGGAAATATCAACAAGTATTCAGTCGCAGCCGTAATGTGCACAGCGCTGTTTCCTGCTGTGGCGACTTTACCCGCCACTTACTGCCTCTTGATTTTTCCCTTTACTGCCTCCTTCTCTTGTGTGTCACGTCCTGTACCCACCCCCGTTCGCCCATTTTCTTTGCAGTAATAAACTTGTGAATAATTTATGGAACTTTCACAGCAGCGCGGGGATTTTAAAACATATCCCTCATTAGTTTAAAAACTAAAGTATTCCACTGTGTTATTTTATGAATGATATTTTACAAATTACAGCATTCAAGACACAGAGGGCTGCCAGCCAGTGAACTAGGAATAGAAACCAGAATGCCTTGGTTCCCATTCCTTTGCATTATCTTTGATATTAATTTGCTTCTCTTAAATGGGCTTCAGTATTTCCCTTTAAAAGGGAAAGATTCTGGCCGTCAATGTTGATTTAAATTATCTTATTATAAAGTTACCGAAAGATATATACATCCAACACTATTATACATATACATGTAATAGTTCTTATAGTTCTTATACTGGTACAACTAAAACCAAAAAGTCACAAATTAAATACAAACTTGCAAATGGATGATATTGTCTGATATGGAATGGATTATTTGAATCTTGTATGCATGCTTTTACTGGATTTTATTAGGGCCTTCTCTGACCTCCCAGTCCAGAATTAGTCCACCAGACACCTTCCAGAAACATGCCTGCCTCCATTTTCATTACCACGTTTGCCACTAGATTATATCCTCCATGGGTGCAGAAACCTGCCCTTCCTATCTTGTATGGTTCAGCAACTTGCACTATACCTAGCACATGGAAAGCAGTCAATAAGTATTTGTTGACCAAATGAAAGTCCCGTACATAGTGCGAATATTCTGCCTGTCCAAAAGTGTTGTCTCTGGTTGGAATTATGCTGATTTGTGTGTGTGTTAGTGAGAGTGCTTTTCACTACAAATAACAGGAGACCTAACTAAAGTAGATTAAACAAAATTGGGCTCATTATCTCATATGAAGAGAATTCCAGAGGTAGAGCAGCAGTTCCAAGGTTAGTTAATTCACTTGCTGAAGGATGTCCTCAGAATCTTAAGTGCCTTCCATCTTTCTACTCCACCACACTCAGCCCTGACTCCTATTATGGTCACAAGATGGCTGAAGCAGTTCTAAGTATCATGTGCAGATGACAGCTTTCCAGGAAAGAAAAAAAACTCTTACTTCTCAACTGCCCCAGATGTTCCTCCAGCACACTTCTTTATCTCACTGGCATATGTGTCATGGTGGTTAAAAGGGCAAGCTCTAAAAGCAGACTGCCAGAGTTCAGATCCTATCTTGATTGCTTTCTAGCTCTGAGACTTTAGGCAAGTTAGTCTTTCTGGGCTTTGGTTTAGTAATAGTGCCTTCTTCATAGCTTTATTATGAGAATGAAATGAGTTAACACCTGTAAAGTTCTTTAAAAAGTACCTAGCACAGAGTAAGTTCTCAGTAAGTGTTAGCTTTCATCACCATCACCATCATCTTAACAGGACATGATAATGTTAGTTAACCAGTTAGCTCATGAACAAAATATGAGCTCTGCCAGCAAGGAAGGGACTAGAGGAATAAACTTGGGTGGGCAGCCAAAGGGGTCATCCACAACAGAGCAGCACCTTTCAGAGTTTGCAATCCAAAGAGAAGATGTATATCCCATCGGTTTCTAACAAGTGTCCCCAGTTTCTGTTACCTAGGAACAGAACCAAAGAGTGCAAAGAGTAATGTTTAAAATATTGAGGGTCAAGGCTAAGGAAATGTCTAGCCAGTTAATACTTTCTTGAAGATAATACAGAAAGTAAAATACTTTTAATTCAATAGTCATTCAACTGCTGTTGATATCACTCTGTCACCAAGTAAAAAGATTTATTAAAGTCCAGGGTGACTTTGGCTTATCCTTAGCCCAAATAATTCTCAGGTGAAAATGTCAAGATTAATATTTCTCATAACCAGTAATGTAAGTTAATTTCTAGAGCCACTCTATTTATAAAGTAAACTAACGTACTATCAGCTATTCTTCCCAGGGTCCTTAGAATAAAATCGTGGGGGCTATTTAGGAAATCCCTGTTCTTCCTCCCACTCTGAAAGCCATTGTTTCTGGGGACAGGTCAACATAGATGTCAGTGATTTCAAATGTTAGTAACCTAACCCTAGAGGCTTGATTGAAACTGGCTTATCACATACATGTAATGAACATTATGGCTGCTTTATTAGATAACTATTCTAAGCCCAGAGAAACTGGCCTTAACTATAGTGGTCAGTCCCTTAAATAAAGAATGTGTGGGTGCTGGGTTTGAGGGGTGAAAGATTGAGAACTAAGGGAGCTAGAATAAAGTCTAGGGGATGACCAAATGTGGGAACTTTGTCTCATTCCTGTGATTTCTACTCCACTTAATCATTGTACATAGGCACAACGGAGGACGTGGTATAATGAAAACCACAACTAAGGGAGCTAGAATAAAGTCTAGGGGATGACCAAATGTGGGAACTTTGTCTCATTCCTATGATTTCTACTCCACTTAATCATTGTACATAGGCACAACGGAGGACGTGGTATAATGAAAACCACGGGCTTCGTAATCAGGCAGACTTGGATTTGAATTCTGACTTGATCATTTACTGTGAAGCTTCAGTCCTGTTTCTGAAAGTATAATTAGAACATTAAATCATTCACTTTATAGAAAATGGTTACCATGGTGCCTGGCACATAGTAAGGGTTCAAAAAGGCTTTGTTTCTTTCCAGTATCTAACAAGGTGATCCACTCCATTTGTGGAACACTTTGGTCAGGTATTCTAAATTACAATTATCTCCTAAGTCACATCCTACTTATTAAAAAGCAGCCGCAGGCAGGTCGTGTCCTCTGCCTCTCAGCATGCCTACACAGAGCAATGCTGAGCTGCCTGCCTCCCTGGGTTTTCTTATGACTAATGTGAGGTGCAGGCCCAGTCCTGCTGTGCTGAAAGAACTAAGAGCCAATTGCTGTAAAGTCAAAACTCAGCGGAAGGGGGAAAAGGAATAAGATCACTGCTGGATGAGTAAGAGAGAGTTTTAGAGAAAGAAAGAGAGAGGAAAAAAAGGTATTTCAAGCAG